AGTCCTTATTCTAAAAAAGACTTATGAGTCTTTGCAAATAGAGGGCCACATGTATGGGGTACAAGTTGTGATGTGAGACGTGTGGATCACAATTAACAAGAAGTATATTTCTTTGTCAATAATTGTTGATTTGCTAGTCATGTCATCTAATGAGAGCGAGAGGGATGATAGTATGAAATAACGAAGCTTGCCAGTCTATGGATATATATGAGTTATAAAACCAAAAGACAAAAGAAGTTTAATTTGGAAACCAAAATGAAGTAAGGCTATTCAATAACTTGTTTCATGATTTCATGTTTTACTTTTGGGTGAGCGTTTGATTTGGGGCAAGAGACGAGGGTTCCAAGCAACAACTCTAAACTCTTTCTTTTTTTCAATTGTAGAAAATGCTGTCGTTTTTATCTTCGATGACCATGTTAGCACTAGCCTCCCGCTAGTTCGGCCACATGGAATGGCCGGCGTTGATCGGACATCCACGTAAGCATTTTTCGGGGTAAATTTGCTGGATTGACTGAATTGACAAATTATTAAAAGGTTTAGGATTGAATTAACCGTCACACGATAGGTTTAGGATTTTTTGGACAATTTTCCTGATCAAAACAAGCTCGACCCATTGCAGTTTGCATACATAAGATTAATGATCATTGTCATGTCTGTTCGCTTTTAATTTTCATCCACGCGTGTTATTAAGTGATATCTTGTATATTCATTATTGGTCCGTTTCCAAAAATTTTAACCGATATCTCATAGTATAGAATTGGACTCTTCTTATTTCGTCTCTTACTATTTCTATTTTGCTCGTTCCTCTTACATGTCATTATGCGTTTGAGATGGTCCTATTTGCAGCTCGTATTTCACATGTAACGTCTTGACGTGGGTCAAGCCCCAAATAAAATATCTGAAGTAATCGGACAAAGCAACAGTCATGGGTATCATTTCTTCTATGCCATGTTTAGCAGAGTGGAGGAATCTTCTCCAAAACCACTATCGATTCAAGTGCGATGTGAACTCGTGTGTCACTCTCTCTTCCATCACATATGATCTCGTACAGTCTATGAGGAAAACTTTCTTCACTACGCTAACCGCACATTAAAACACATTTTTTGCCAGTGTTAAGATTCCGTTTGTTTTGTGAAAAATAAAAAATTTGGAAAATATATTCTTAAAAATGATTGTTTATATCCCCGCTACCTAGACCGTTGTCAAAAAATTCCTAGAGAAAACCCTCCTAAATTTACTAGATTCGACATTTCCAAATCACGTGACTTAGCTTTGGGGTTGACGTCAAAGCCCGCGAAGTGAGACGAGCGCAAGACAATGACGCTGCAATGGTTGTAGTGAATGAGCCTCCACCAACACGAGTTCGTCTGCCTCCTGTGCCATGCCCACCGCGTCGACTAAGATGGAATTAATCGAATCACGACGCAGCAAAGAAAAATCTGAGACAGCGCGCGCGGCAAGAACTAGGCACACCACTCCCCAGCTTGATGCGTCAGTACAGTGAAACGCAGGGAGCAGCGACGTCGGTGGCCATAAATGTCAACGATGACCAACGAGCGTCTGCGAGGATTGCGGCTCTGCGGGCTGACTCAATGGTGCGCTTGGTACGAGATGTTGTGATATGATGGTGATCTTGAACGATGAAAGAAACAATAGTTGGTGGGGTGACTACTGAGGGTGGTGGTATGTGGAGTCACCCTTGGTGGAGATCTCTCCGGGCGTATTTGGTAAAAGGACACTATAAGTATCATAAGTTGTGTACGGAAATTACTTTGGTGCCATAGCTTTTTTTCGAATCACTTTGGTGCCAACTTTTTTGAAAAACGATCACTTTAGTGCCAATGCTGACATGGCCGCCGGAAATATGACGTGGCTCTTTTTTGATTAATTTCCGATGCTGACATGGCTCACCGGAAATTTGATGTGGCTTGCCGGAAATCTAACGTGGCTCTTTTTTTGGCCAGAATTTTGGTCGGAGTCACTTAAGTGATCTCTTTTCCTCCGACCTGGCACTAAAGTGATCCGAAAAAAAGTTATGGCACCAAAGTGATCTCCGTACACAACTTATGGCATTTATAGTGTCCTTTTACTGGGCGTATTTCAAGCAATCCTGTGTGTGCCTTCTTGCACCGGTCTTTCTTGAAAGTAGAAAACTGTATACCCCCTCTTCAATCAGATATCTCTTATCGACCGAAAAAAAAAAAAAAAGATCAGATATCTCTTTCCTTGGTTGATCAAATCTATTGAAGATATTGGAGCCCTCGCATCCACTCTATCGCTCTTAATATATTGAGAAAATTCCAAATAAGGGCCTGAAGTGAACCATATTTTAAATAAAGGCTTGAAGTGCTATTATTTTCTCAAATAAAAGCTTGAAATAAACCTTGTTTCAAATAAATACCTGAAACAAGGTTTTCGTCCTTTACATTTTTGAAATTTTTTCCTTTGTCTTTTTCTATTTTTTTCTTTTCCTTTTCTTTTTCTTTTTTCTTTTTCCCTTTTCCCTCTATCGGCCGTCGTCGGGCCTCGTCGATGGCCGGCAAAAGTCGCTAGATTCAAGTGAGGGCCGCCCTCATCGGCGTTGGGCGAGGGTCACCCTGGGTTGGGCGAGCGAGGGCGAGGGTTGCCCTCACCGGATCTGGCAAGGTTCGCCCTTGCTCAAGCAACCCTCGCTTGATGCCGGCTAGGGCGGCCCTCGCCTGAGGCCGACGGCGTTGGCCATCGACGAGGCGCCGCGATGGCTGGGGGAGTGAAGAGGGAAAAAGAAAAAAGAAAAGAAAAAGAAAAGGAAAGTAAAAAAAATCAAAAAGTATATTTAGAAATTTTTTGACTAAAATATCCTTTCTCCGACGACTGATATAGTCAAATGTTGGCTGGCCGGCCAAAAGTTATTATTTGAGACAATTTGGCCATTTCATGCCCTTATTTTAGATGATTTGATCACTTCATTCCCTTATTTGAAATAATGTCAACTTCAGGCCCTTATTTGAGAAAATGATAGTACTTCAAGCTCTTATTTGAAATTTTCCCTAATATATTGGTGGTTATCCCATGAATCTCTCGCTACCCTTTTGGTTTAAACGTGTATTCACCTAATATTACCTTTCTTTAAATACGCCCATAATGTATATTTTCATCTGACATCTTCATTTGCCATGCGTGTATATATCGAAAGAATTGTGCGCCTCTAAGTGAATGATCGAATAAATGGACCCATGCAGCACTTTTACAACTGGGCCGACTTAAATGCAAATTATGTGGACCTATCGCAATTAAATAAAAATGTTTCTAAATGCAAATACAAATTATGTTAATTATATTTTAGTATAGGGGTCGCAATCGACTCCTAATTTTTTATGCAACAAATAACTAAATAAATCATCAAAATTTAGGTGTCAACAAGTTATAATCGTGTTCAGTGACACCACAGCCCGCTCAAGAATCGGACTAAATACTCAGGACCATCTATCGTCACTCTTGTTGGACCTAGACCGGCTGCAAGTCCTGAGAGCTTGCTCCAAAAAGACAATGAACTATCTTTCAAAAGAGAGGCCCATCCTTCAATTATTGTTAAAGTTGTGATTTGGATTGCGGGAGATTACTTGTCCAGCAATTAGTTGATGTAATTCGAATTATTGAACCTGTTTGTTTGTGTTCTATAAAGCAATTATAAACATATTATTTAAATTTCAAATAAATTGTGAAAAATTAGATGTGAATAAACGTGAAAATATTTCTTTGTTGTGAACCTTTCGTGTGTTTCGAGCAAAGAAAGGGCCAATCGCAAGATTTAAATACAATTAAAAGATAAAAGTACAAATATATCCACACATGCTCGAAGTTGACTAGACCATATAGTTGATAGAGACCGATGTGAATTATTGTACGTAACAGAGCAATCAAGTCTATCCTAAAGTCGATATAAATTGACAAAAATGATTTGTCAGCCATATCGTAATTCGACAATTTGCATTTTGGACTTATTCATCAAAGTCTAAAGTATTTTATTAAAAAAAAAAAGATATCTGTTACTTTCATTCTCCACATTTTGGGAACTATTTTTTTTTTGTATTGGTAGAGTTAATGTGTAGTAAACAACTTTCTTCCATCATTATCTTTTGGTAATTTTTTGATAAACAATATATAGAAAAATCACCTAAACGACGGACAGAGGCTAACTGATTCACTCACACTCACTCTCACTCAAGGACGCAGTTGGCTTTGATTTTCAATATTACTCATCTTTTTATAGTTTAAATTTGCAATAAATTAGAAGTCCAAATTCCCTATTGATATAAAGGATGTATGTCATGGACTTGCTTCAACGTGGCATGAGTGAAATACGTCATCTATTTGACTCCCCACATTCTATTTTGAGTTTACACATGCTCGAGACAATGTTTATTACATTTAACCTTCAAGTAAAAGGAAATATTATTCTAATAAATGAAAGTGTTTCTTTGACCGGAAATATTAACTCTTCCTAGTTGATTTACCATTTTTAATGCTCCGAAACACCTGACGGTCAAGAAAATGTTTTTCATAGAAATTCTTTTCAACGAAGTAAGCACACCGTAAAACGAATTTCTTTCCCAGGAACCTGAATTTGGATACTACCGGTACCAACAAGTGACTTCCGAGATCATAGATCCAACGATATCCTCGCATCAATTAGTCAAGTGGAAGACCTACCATTGATGAAGTCAACGTAGGCAAGTTACGGGTTTGTTAGCACTTATTCGATTTGAATGTTGTGGGCTCTTCTTCACTGCTCTTGACAATGAAAGCTCTCATGCCGCTGTCTTTATCACTTGCAAGAAAGAAGCACACATACGAAAGCTTATTCAACTAGGACTCAACGTAGATACGAAGGTCTCACAGTTTTCTGCTGTGCGGCTGGACAGAATATGCTACAGAAGTCACTCTTGAAAGGGTGCCGGATTTTAATTTTTCTCAAACCAGAAAAGCCAAAACTTTCGGGAGCTGTCACGGACAACAAGCATTGGGTGAGCTTAGAGCGTGAACCAATATTTGACTTGGTCTGAGATGGCATAAAGATACCACTTCATTCTACTACAAATACCTCGGCCGCTGGCATTGCCATTGCAACAAGAAAAGCCCCCTCCTCATAGCTTTAAAACATCCTGTCAAATGGCGGCATCATCTCAAAAACAACCCTCAATGCTCTTCCTAGTTTATGTCCTTCTCGTGCTTATTATGCAAGAAATGTCTCGTCCTGCTTCATCCAAAAGCTCTCCTCTAGTGGCCTTCGCTCTTTCAGGTAGCCAAACAAGAGATGAGGAAGTGGCGGCGCTCCTAAAATGGAACTCTAAGCTCAACAGCGAGAGTCGCTCTATCTTGTCTTCCTGGAATGGAAGCGACCCTTGCTCTTGGCGTGGACTCAGTTGCAATCCTCTTGGGAGCGTCATCAGTTTGAACCTCTCGAGCTCCGCCATCGGTGGTACGCTTCACGATCTCGATTTCTCCTCATTGCCCAACTTGGTCACCCTTAAACTTGCCAATAACTCGCTCTTCGGGAACATCCCCTCGAGCCTTGGCAATCTTTCCAAGCTTGCTTACCTAGACTTGTCTCAAAACCACCTTTCTGGACACGTTCCAACCCAACTCGGATCGATGCGGTCTCTAGAAGTTCTGGAATTGTCGTTGAACAACATCACTGGTCCAGTCCCCAGCTCCATAGGAAGTATGAGTAACTTGACTGGCTTATTCCTACAGAACAATAAGATCTCCGGGGTCATCCCTCGAGAAGTAGGTATGCTTAAATCTCTCAATTATCTGCTTCTACATAACAACAGCATCACCGGTCGAATTCCTTCTTCCATTGGAAACATGAGCAGTTTGATGAAGTTATGGCTTTTGAATAATGATATCACCGGGCCCATTCCAATAGAAATAGGAATGTTGGGGTCTCTTAGTGAGCTCGATTTATCAGGCAATTACCTCGATGGATCTATCCCTACAACTCTAGGAAATTTGAGTAAGTTAGGCTATCTTTACTTCTATAGAAACCAACTCTCTGGCCACATACCTGAAGAAGTTGGAGGAATGAGATCCCTCACATATTTTTCGCTGTCAAACAATGATCTAACAGGTTCAATCCCATCGTCGATAGGGAACTTAAGCAGCTTAGACATTCTTTATCTTTATGACAATAAGCTTTCCGGTCCTATTCCTCTGGAAATTGGAAACCTTAGGTCTCTCTCTCAACTCGCTCTCAGTAGTAATAATTTCACGCGATCTATCCCGGAAACGATAGGGAAGTTGGGCAACTTGACCAGCTTGTTCTTCGAAGAAAACAATATCTCAGGCCCTATACCTTCTAGTATTGGAAACTTAAGCAAGCTCAATGGATTGTTCTTGTACCAAAATAAGTTGTCCGGCTCGATTCCGAAAGAGATGGGAAGACTAGGAGCCCTTGGTGAGCTGTCTCTATTTCAGAATAGCCTAGAAGGCTCTCTTCCAATTGAGATCAACAATCTCACATCCCTGACAAGCCTACAACTATTCAATAACCAGTTCGTTGGCCAATTGCCACCGGATATATGCAACGGTCAAGTTCTTGAAAATTTCAGTGCTCACGACAATCACTTCACAGGACCGCTACCAAGAAGCCTGAAAAATTGTACAAGTTTGCATAGAGTTAGGCTCCAAAATAACCTGCTAAAGGACAACATTACTGATGTTCTCGGCACATACCCCTACTTGGATTACCTTGAGTTGAGCAATAATGAACTTTATGGAGAGCTTCCACCGAGATTGGGTGATTGGAGCAATTTGACAAGTCTGAAAATCTCCAACAATAAATTATCGGGCATGATACCGCCTGATCTGGGAAAGATGACTCGATTGCATGTACTGCATGTATCTTCGAATAATCTTGTCGGGGTAATTCCAAAAGAAGTTGGAAAATTGCAGTCTCTGATAGAGCTTTGGCTGGATGGCAACCATCTCGCCGGCTATATTCCTCGCGAAATTGGAGCATTGTCTGACCTATATCAAATCAACGTTGCAGGAAACAAGCTAAGTGGCTCAATTCCCAGAGAACTTGGGGAGTGTTTGAACCTTCAGTATATAAATTTAAGCAGAAATAATCTTGAGCAGAGCATTCCGATTGAGATCGGCAAGCTGCAATTTCTTCAAAGTCTAGATCTAAGTCGAAATTTGCTTACTGGAGATATACCTCTCCAAGTTGGAACATTGCACAGTTTGGAAACACTCAATCTCTCACACAATCAACTGTCGGGTTCAATTTCACCGACTTTGGACGCTATGACAGGCCTGACATCTGTTGATGTATCCTATAATGAGTTAGAGGGTCCTTTACCAAACATTCCAGCCTTTCATAATGCTACAATTGCTGCTGTAAGAGAGAACAAAGGCTTGTGCGGAAATATTACGGGTCTCACGCATTGTCCAGGGACGGCGACAAAAGGGAATGGCAGAGACAAAATTTTGCTGCTCATTTTACTCCCTACTTCCGGTTGCCTGCTTGCTTTGTTTCTTTTGGTGGGAGTTTCATGCATTATATACCGAAGAACAAGGCAAGAAGAGACTGACTTGATAGAAGCGAGCAGTGAAAGTATGCTGGAAATATGGAGCTATGATGGAAGAACGGTGTACAAGAACATTATTGAAGCCACCGAGGAATTCGATGCCAAAAATTGCATCGGCATGGGAGGACAAGGGAGTGTTTATAAGGCCAAGTTGCAAACGGGTGAGATTGTTGCTGTTAAAAAACTGAACGGAGGACCAGATGTTGAAATGGCTTGTCAAAAAGCATTCGAAAGGGAGATTCATGCTTTGATGGAAACCCGACACCGAAATATCGTCAAGCTGTATGGCTTTTGTTCGAACTCTCGCCATTCGTTTTTGGTTTATGAGTTTCTTGAATCGGGCAGCTTGGAGGATATTTTGAAGAGCGAACAAAGGATAAGAATGCTCGACTGGAATAAGAGAGTGAATGTTGTTAAAGGTGTGGCTAATGCTTTGTTCTACATGCACCATGAATGCTATCCTCCTATAATTCATCGAGACATATCGAGCAAGAACATTTTACTAGATGAAGAATATGAAGCTCACGTCTCGGACTTTGGCACTGCTAAGGTTCTAAAACCTGATTCATCCAACTGGACTTCATTTGCAGGCACATTTGGATATGCAGCTCCAGGTAAATTCTTTTCATGAGATTTTACTCCTTTTCATACGTGAGTATGTGATATTTCCCACATTCAACAAATCCTACTTAAAAGATAGATGAATAATTTGGCTTCATTTGTTTAACAGATACCTAACATAAATCCCAACGTTCTTCAAATGTTTTCCTTTGTGCAGAGTTACTGAAATATAAGTCACGTTAAAGGATAAAACGAGATATTGTTGTTAGTGGATGGGAATTATTCTAATCACATTGAAATCTAAAGAAAGTACAACGTGATTTGCAGTAGAGAATAGTTAGCTATGATAACGAGCTGGTGAGAGTTGCTACTTTCATGAAATTATAATCCCTAAAATTGGAGATTTTCCAAATATTTTTACATTATCAAATTTACCGTCACATATTATTTTTCAAGACAATAATATTCAAGAACAAAGAGGAGATTCAAATGGTTAAGAGTCCTAGAAAAACAAGTCCTCTTATCAGGATAAGGATACAATTTGAGTACACGGATTGATTGGATAAGGATTAGTACATGTTTTTTCTGTTTGACATTTAAGGCTCGGTCCAAATACAAGGTTTCTTTAAACTGGTTCCACTTACTTAAATGTGCATCTAAAAGACTAAAAGATCAATTTAGACAGCATTAATAAGATCAAGTGAGAAAAAGAGCTGTTCTATTTGCAGAACTCGCCTACACAAGGGAAGTGAACGAGAAATGCGATGTCTATAGTTTTGGAGTCGTAGCAATGGAAGTGATAATGGGAAGACATCCACGCGATCTCATATCATCTCTCTTGTCCACATCTCTACCATCATCAAGTGATTCGACGATCCCACATTGCTCACTGAAAGAAGTTTTGGATCATAGAATTCCATACCCTGAGGGCGATTTGCTAGGGGAAGTGGCTGTCATGACAAAGATTGCATTGTCATGCTTGAGTCCCAAACCGGAGCATCGTATGAGCATGCGACAAGTTTCTCAAGAGCTATCAGCACATCGTTCATTCATGTTGAATTCGTTAGAGAACATAAAATTGGAATACTGAGCTAATATTAGAGGCTTCACTTGTTGAGCAATTCTTGTCATGTCTGTACATTTGCATCGGTTATCCATGTCATTTTATATTGTTCCAATATTATTTCAATGTGATTAAAAAGTACTTTTCATTAAAAATGAGTGAAACTACGTCAATTCTTATTAGTTCTAAGTTAATTCATATTGTATTGTGTCAATTTTGTCTCTCATTAACTTGCGGTCGCGTTTGAGTCGTGTTCTCGTGTCATGAATGGAACCACCACCTCTAGTCCTGCCAATACTTGCAACTATTCTGTCTGCGAAACTTCAAACGCATGTATCTCCTCCTTTCGACATCAGTATTTGTGCGATTCTCACGGCAACGAAAAGTTCATGATTTCTAGTTTCTAGGAAGTGCGTGGATCACATTCTCATAACTGGAATACAAAGCACGAGCGCGACCTGTTTTTTGATGACTATACCAGATGAACTTCGGCTGTTCATCAGTAAACTAAAAACAGACTCACCCTCCGTTTGGTTTTAGTCCAACCAGACTATGGGAGTTCGCATTCGGTTCTTTGTCAGCTCTATGGCCTTACAATGTTCCTTTACTTGTTTCGTCCTTATTACCCAATATTGACCAAACTTTGACTTGTGATATCTCGTTTAAGATCTAATTGAAGTAATTCATAAGTATCCGGAAAGCTCGCAAACTCAACTCTCAAACGGTGCCACCATTGAAAGCTTACGAAATTTAAGTATCATCAAGATCAAATAATAGATATTTTGTTATATGATATCTTCAAATCGGATTTTGACAATTTGCGTATGGTCGGGATGCTCTCAATAGATGCTACCCAAATATTCCATCGGATAAAAAATTCGAATATGTAAGGCTTCCGATCAAACTTGATCAAGTTGTGAAATCTTAGGTTAGAAGAAAGTTGTCTACATTACTCTCTCTCTCTCTGTCACATTTATATACAGGGATGCTCTCTAAGTTATTGCTGTTACTATAAAAGAAGAATTTTTACAGCGCATGATAAGTGCATTGACCCCGAAGAAGGCAATCAGCTTAAACTTGTAAGTCTTACTCGTTTAATCCATTTTCATGTAATACAAATCTAATAATTTATACTTGACCTAACCCATACTCGACCTGACCTACATTACTAAAATACTTCAATATTTAATCAAATCTAGAAAAACTCATGCACGAGAGAGAGAGAGAGAGAGAGAGAGAGAGAGAGAGAGAGAGAGAGAGAGAGAGAGAGAGAGAGAGAGAGAGAGTCAAAGATGTGAGTTAAGTTACTTAGATTTAAGTAAGTTGTGAATTCATTTAACACCATTCCAAACCCATTTATGAACCATTGACAAAAAAAAAACTCATTTATGACCGGATATAACTAACTCATATAACATTTCAACCTATAAAAAATGAATTAAGAAATGAGTTTCTCACCCATTTTGACAGGTTTATCATAACACCTCATTGCATAATTATTTTTCTTGATGATGGCTTCTAGATTTATGAGATAAAAATGGAGAGAAAATGTAGCCCCAAAAAAAATTCGCAAAAAGGACTTTGTTGTGCTTTTGTTGAATTTCATGCTTTTTTGGGCAACGAATTCATATTTAATTAAAGCAGGTTGGGATTGTACTTAAGCAATATTAAGTCCTTGCTCTGAAGAAGACTAAGAAGTCTTTGCAAATAGAGGGCCCCACATATCATCAGATGTACCGTGTACTAGGGGTGAGCGGTTTCAGGTTCCTTACAGGTTTTACCTAGAACTTGGAACCTAATCTCAAGTGCAGATTCCTCATTTTTTTGGAATCTGAAACCTATCTATCGAAACTTGGAACCTAAAACCTACCCTGTCACAGGTTTTAAGGTAGGTTTCAGGGTTTAACAAGTTTTTTTTTTCATTTTTAGTTAAACAAAACGAAAATGAACGCAATAATACCGAACAAGTTTGTCATTCACCAAAGAAAATACAAAAGACTAGTTTTCCTAGCATTACAATTAAACTGAGAAGTTATTACGTGGATCGATACTAGGATTGAGTGGTTCCATGTTTTGTACAGGTTCCACCAAGTGGAACCTGCCCATGAGAATAAGTTCCTCATTTTTTGGAACTTAGAACCTATCCTATCACAGGTTCCAGAGTCGGTTTCAAGTTATACCCAAGTTCCACTTGTATATTAATTGAATAATTGCAATTAATCATCATCTTTAATGACAACCATTTGTTGTTATGATCCGCTAATTACAACTTATATTTAGACACACAAAGAATATGAAACATTAACAAGTCATAAAATGAAAGCTCAAATTAGTAGTTCTAAATTATACACCCATCATCTAACGCCATGAAACACCGCAAGATCACGTGAAGCCATAAAACCAAGAAAAAACACAAAAAAACTTGTTTAGGTTTCAGGTTCCAAGTTCCACTTACCTAGAACCTAGAACCTATTCGTCAAAACAGGTTCCTCAATTTTTGAAATCTGAAATCTATCTTGCATATCTTAGAACCTGGAACCTATAGGTTCCCACCGATCAGGTTTTCAGGTTCCAAGGTAAAATCTCAAATCATGCTCACCCCTACCGTGTGCAAATGGGAGACGTGTGGTCACGAGATGGTGTCTTAACTCTTTGCTGATGATCGTCGGTTCATTAGTCAAAGTCTTCTAATGAGAACCAACACCAAATTCGAGTAACAAAAGCACAGAAAAAGTTGGAAATCAAAATGAATTAGGTTATTTCAACTCGAAATTACTTCTTTTCTTGAGAAAAAAGAAATTGGGAATTTCATTTTATTAGCATAAATTGTTGGGGGGACGGAGGTGAAAATCCACGTGAGTAATTTGGCTATTTTCTTATTGTTAATTTATTACTCCTATCGATAGTGCTATTATTATCGTTCTCCCTAACTATTGACACATTGAAGCTAATAGTCAAGAAGCATCTTCAAACGAAATATGTTGCGGTTAGATAACTCCGCCCGAGCTGTCTGGCATTTTGCTCACAAACGCAAATGGAACTCGTGACCTCGTGGAAGAAAGATGAATGATTCACCAATTGGCCAACCACCTTGATGGTTTATCAAGATGAAGACTACAAAGTATTAAAGATGGTAAAATCCATCGAGTGCTCCAAAAGTACTCGTAAGTAAGACTATTGCATTGCTCAGTATTTTGCCTACCAACTGATGAACTGTTGCATTTTAGCACTCCGTGGCACGATTAATGGTAGTTGATCGTCCGAATCCTTTTTGGGCCAATAGAAGAGGAGCCCCATTATCGTCCAATGTATAAAATTTGGGGGTCTCACGGTGGGTCTTGAGGAATTCGTCAAGGCCTCCACCTCTACAAGTACCTGCATCCACGAACATGAGTTACGGTGTATCGATTTTGACCCGGATTGGCCGTCCGATGCCTAAGTAATTGAGGAGAGTGTATTCTAGGAAGTTTGAAATGGGGAAGAAGAAACTTACCATAGTTGCTTTCTTAGCATATAGAAGTGTGGATAATTTTGGTCATTGGATGTTGATCAGCATGTGGTGGTCTACTTATAACTGGCGGCTATATGTCATGACAAACGGCTATTTCATAATATGTCATGTCAAACCGCCCTCATTGGCCAATGAACACTTGAATTTAGTGGTTTCACTGTCGTCTCTTCCAATGGGATAGCTTTTAAGTGGAGGTCTTTTCAGTGTACCCTCATCAGATTTACCCGACTCTACTCAGATCGTCTCTCCTTAGCCATATCCATCAGGAAGCACCCATGATGAACAGTCTAGATAAGCTTGGCAGACCATACAAGACATCGAGATAAGGTTCAAGTCAAGTCATTATCGAGTATTCCGTGAGAAGGTGGGATCAATGAAAGCGACTAGGACTTTTCTTGTACGCGCAAGCGTAAGAAAAGTCCTTTAGCAATGAATGCTCTTAACTTCCGCATCCAACGACTCAATTTGTACAATACCCAAGTCCCAATGCTGAAATCTCTTTTGGGTGTGAACTTATATTCATACGAATCTATCGAGCAGTTTGGAATTCATGAATTTACAATAATGTCGTCCTCGCATGTAATAAGGCTATATTACCGTGAATCGATGAATGAAAAACAAGGGATCAGGGATGCAATACAAATGTTGATGCCCAAAGACCCAAAAGTCGAAAAGAAAAAAGAAAAAAGGTAAACTGATCAAAACAAAGCTCTCAATGCTTGCTTGAGACCATATATGTAACAGCCCGAATTTTGATGTAATTCCGGGATCAATAATGCTGATATTATTTCGCATTTCATTTTAGTAAGTCTCGCCTAGAGCTGATCACTCTCGGGATACTAACCAATGGGGTATGGCTAACTAGAAATCGGTACGTGGACCGGGGACCCTATCGTGAAACGGACACCGATCACGAAAGACGCTGAGGGAATATTTTGGGCCAACGTGGGCCGATCGTAGGAAAGGGTAATGGATTGGGTTTGGCCAAGGCCTACGATGTATAATAGGGACGCAGGTGATTCTGCAAGACCGAAAGTACACGTGGCCAACCAGTCCTGAACTTAAACCGAACGATCGTGACCTCTGGAACTAGTGATAATTTCTCATTCTTTCAATGATTGGGACCATTACGATACGGATAGCCCTAGGTCGATACGCGTAACCTCTAAACAGCCGCCCGTTAGTGAGAGACCCTGAAATTAAAAGTTTAGCGAGTATTGTTCACGGAATTGGGCCCGGATTACGATGTCGATTTTCAAAGGCTTAAGAGACTATTTTTGGGAATCTGACGTCATATTACGCTGGCCACACACGTTTGGAGTTAGTACGAGTAAAAATTGAAATTTCGGTCCGGGGGTGAAAAATTACGATTTTGCCCCTCGGGACGCCAGCATTGCTTTTCGAGGCCAAATGAGGTTATTTTTCTAGGCCGACGCCATTTTTGGGTGGCCACGCATACCAGGAGTCGTTTTGGACAAAAACTGGAATATCGACAAAAATTGAAAAAATAATATTATTTTATTCCCGAAACTTTGACGTGAATTTT